AGGGATACTGTAAGAATAGCTCATTCAGCAGTTTCACAGTTTAAGGCCAAATTCTGCTCTGTTGGATTAGATTAATTCCTACGATAGCTCCAATGAGAGCAGAAGTTGCACACAAAGTATGTCTGTCTTTTGCAACCAACCGCTTCAGCTTGGGCTGAGAACCGTATAAATAAATTAATTTCCATCTAATATAAAATTATTGCTAAAAATAATAGTTTTTAAGGTAAAGGAAGACTTTTTATCTTTTCCTACTGTTAAAAATATAAGGTTTTGTACAGTTTATTATATTCTATTTTTATCTACATTATCACCCTGCAGTTCTGTAAGGGGTTATAGTACAAAGGGGAAACGATACCTTACTCCTTAAATGTAAAGTGCACATCTAAATCACCTAAATATAAGTCTTTCTAGTGAGTAAACAGAATCATCTCTCACACACCACAGAAGATTCTTTATAAAGCAGCCTATAAAAAGGTTTTGGAAGAAACACTAATAAAGAGAATACAAAGAAAACCAGCATATGATTGAGATGAAAAAATGATTAAATCCCATATTCTTCCTGAATTCCACTAACCTGCTTAAATAATAGTTCGCTGTCAAAACTCCTTGAAAGTAGAATGTGCTTTATTTTGGTGTTAAAATAGCTAAATTCTAAATAGTAAAACACTAGTATCCCTTCTTCTCTTTCTCCTTCAAGCCTTCTCTAGTTTATCAACATTATAGAGAAAAAAGCCAGCTCTCCAACCACACTTGTTGATACTTGAATAGAGTTCTAAAAATAAAATGCATTTTGCTATTGAGAATTTAAGCAGGAGTTTGGTACTGTGGAAGTTGAGTATATCTACTGCAACTCTAAGGGACCTTTCTTACCCTCTCTCAAGGTCCTGAAGTTTTGGGCACATCTCTCTCTTTAGTGCAGGAAGAAAAGACACTCATATGAGAGGTTCCAGGCACTGCTTTGGGCTTTCTCTCTCCCTGTGGTCCCTCTTATGCTATGTTCAGCCCATGCTTTTCAACTTGTGCCTTCCTGCTCTGCTTCTCTTTCCATTGAGAAAGTGGATGGTGTGGAAATCGGTTCTCTATCTGCATGGATAGAAACTACTGTCCCAGGAGAATATATACTGTGCAGCAGTTGACATAAATTGACATCTCCTTGCAGCTACTGCTTCTACCTGAACAAGTGAACCTATGGAGAGGATACTGGGGGATGATGAAAAATAATAAGGATGCCTCATGCTTCCTTCTTTCCCCTTTACGGTGACTGTGTCAGCTCTTTGATAGCTGTGTTACTGGAATATTCCTCCAGATCCTAGTTTCTCCCTCTATTTTCATTGTATTGCAATGATCTTCTAGTGCCAGTATTTTGTTTTTGAAGTATAAGACTGGACTACAGAGACCACAAAGACATGACTTGAACAGCACAGAGTCTGCACCTAGGTGATTAATGACTTGGGGCAAAGCTGCGTTAGCCTGTCAGTCATTGTGTAAGCACAGGGTTTGTGCTTACAAGAAGCATTCTTGCGTGGCTTTGCTAAGGACCTGTGCTCTGCAGAGCCTGGGTTCAGCTGTAGTGAGGTGAGGCAGCTATCTACTTCAGCCTGATGAATGGGGTCTTTTTTAGACGTAGGAGAAGCCCTGCTAGGTAGCATCTGTGTCAAGCATTATTTCCTTGATGGTTATTTTTCTGCATCTCCACTGCCTCTTTCACAAGACTGTAGTGTAAATACTGCAGTTTGATAAATACTGCAGGTTACCTTTCAATTTTTGCATCTTCTTAATGTTATTCCCCGCTACTTCATTGTACAGTTACAAAAGAGTCATCTCTCACACTTACCTTAACTGATGACAGTAGCTGTTGATTCTAGCATTGTACAGAGGGCTGGCATGCCTGCTGGCATTTTTGGATTTTTTCCCTAGTCAGTGATGAATAGCAGGCATTTGTGCCTTGAAGTTTCTTATAATCTCAAATGACATTTCTCTCTTTCTTTACCGTGTGACTTTACACTAAGTAATTTAGGAATAATCTAAATTAAATATAAATTTTAAGTTCTGCTTTCTTTTGAAACACACATTTTGTGGACTGCAGAGTCTTCTGTTACCTTGGCAAATGTATGGTTCCAGTGGAAAAAACAACAAAATCATCAGTTCAGGAGAGATCTTGGTTCCATTACACCAAAACAGAAAATCTTTTCTTACCTGAGGGCAGCAGAATGACATGCCAACTGTTATGTGCATTTGAAAAGTTAATCGTGGAACCATTTTTTGCTTTTCTCCTCTGAAATACTTTTGTTATTAATGGCTTGTTAAATGAAAAAATGTTTCAGCAACACCGTAGAGTTTTCAAAATGATGAATGTATTTAATTCTCTTTATTTCCAAGGTGCCCTGTTAGAAGACCGAGCATTATATATAAATTTTCAGTATAGAAGTAGGGTATGCTTAACTTCCCAATGTAAAGGCCTATGAAAGAGTAATATAACTACATAGAGGAAGCGATATTCTTCCCATTGGCCAAGTCTGAGACCCTCTTCTTCTCTTTCACCATAGTGCATGGATGAAGAGATGCATCCTGAGAGGCAAAACTAGGCACTAGGTCCAGTCACTAAATATACAGATCTCATTTATTTTAAATAGAACATAAAGGTAACAATCCATTAGGGAGATAAGAAAGGAATTATAATGTATATTTATGGTTTTTATTTTATACATGCTATATGCTGTAATTTTTCCTTAGATTAGCATACTCTAGTCAAAGACAAATGTGGCACAAAAGTTCTTCCCCCTCACTGAGGTAATAGGTTCATAGATGAATGATCTTCTTGCTTAACAATTTACATTCCTTCTGACTCCCTGTTACATTTTGCCTGTGTTGTAATCCAATCTGTCTTTTATCACTTTCAGGGTTTCCTGTCTGATTTCTGTATTTGACACCATAGACCTTTTCTGCCTTAAAGAGGGAAAAATGAGATTAAGGTTAAATTTGTTTAGCTCTGCGTTACTCAAATTTGTTAATGTTTTCAAAACAAGATAGTACTACATGTGTGAGAGCAACAGACTATTGAATGATTGGGAAAGTGACAACGTCAACCAGGTACTCAAGTGTTATAAACTAGAATAACTAGGAATTATTCTGATCTGGCTGGCATTTTTTGATGCACTTTATTGAATGCAAGTCAGCTATTTTAGAAGGAAAGAAGAGAGATGAGCTGAAATATAAAATTTTACGATTACCTCTTGATTATGGATCCAGTACTTCAAACTGTCGTTGAACAAAATACTGTTGACTTTGCTGATAACAGAAGCAAGTTCACATCCCTTTTCGTACAATACAGCTAATGATAACTTTGAGAGAGATGAATATAACTTGACTGAAATGTCAGCCATTACTTCATGATACTCCTTCACACAGATGAGCGCCTTCATAAGTGAACAGGATTTTTTGGAACATGGACATAAAGAAATCAACAAAACCAAGACACAACCTCAGCAAACAATAATTGTTTAAAGTGAATTGAATTAATTTCAGTTCATAAATGAAGCAATACTGTAAAAAAAATTACTGTTTTAAAGTAAAAGAGGATTGTACACCTTCTTTCTGACACAGTTGAACAAAATCTGAGAGCTACTATTTTAGAAACTCTTTAACTAATCCTTGGAGGAAAACAACAACAAACCCAACCAGACCCAAGGTTGCTATGTTATAATCCTCAGTGCAGAGTTACATTGCCTCTGTTACTTCATATGCAGTGTGCCTTTGGCAGTGCACCAGATGTTTGCCTCCAGCTGATTTTGCTTTTGTATACACATTCTGAGCAACAAACCAAAAATTTAGAACATGTTCACAATAAAAATACTTCGCAATGAGAAACAGCCTTAGCTACTGGACTTAAAGTATCTAGTAATTCTAAATGTCAGATTTCCATATCTTAGCATGTTTTTGTTTTTCAACAGACAAGATTGACCAAACTAAACATTCTTGCCTACAACCTATGCCGTATATCTGATCTATTGTGTTACTATTCAAAGCAGCAACTAATATGATTTATTTAATCCTAAACAGGGAAAATCTAAGAGTTTTAATAGTTGTTCTCCTATTTATTAATGTGAAGTACAACAAATGTAAAAGACCATCCAGATCCTTTTTCATGTTTTAGAAGAGCTGCATTTTCTTCCAAAATTGTGAAGTGCTTCTTAACCAGTATCTAAGTCATATCAATATACTTCAAAGAATGAGTTAGAAAACTTGATATATTCATAAATTAAACTTCCTGTATTTACGTAATATGTAGGAGATAAATGTGCATAAATACAGGTGTACTCATCGTCCAAGTATTTCAGTGAAGCAATTGACCACTTGCTTTTGGTTTTGGTCCAAGATCTCTTTGCATTGAATCGAAATGGAGCACAAAATTTTGATGTAGTTTGTCTATCTAGTAAGCTGTATGGGTTTTATCAATTGAGAAAAAAAAAATCTTCAAAAATACAAAAAGGATTAAAAAATATTCTAAGCTTCAATTATCAAAGTGCAGGAAATTAAAAGAAATAAAATCCTTTGCAGGAATCAATACTTTACGAATTTTAATATATTTCCCGTGTGATATGCAGACTATTAGGCTGTACGTACCTTGTGCTGTCTGAGATTATTTCAACATACACCTTCCAGGGGAACAGTAATATGAAGTACGTTGAATAAATTATATAACTTAAATGTGTCATATGTGCTCATTGCAAAGCCACAGGTAGTGTCCTTAAGACAAGAAAAAGTCCTTAAAACTGTAATCTCAAATCAGTAATCTGTCATTATCTTGTAAAATTGAAATAAAGGTTAGAAATACTAATCTATTCTGTAATACTGTGGGATTTACCTAGGGTATTCTGGATCCATTTTTTTTTTAATTAAAAATACACCAGAATTCAAAAAATTTAAGGAACATCAAAGAGTACTGTACAATTATACCACTATGTAACATTATGTATAAATACTTGGCAGTAAAGCTTCAGTAGAGAGTGATATACAATGAAACATTTGTTAATATTTAGTTTGACACAAAAAGTTTGCAATAGCAGATGTATCTCCTCTGGGTGTCATTCTTCCACTCCACTTTGACTGGGCATTGCAGGCCATGCAGGATCTTCCCCCCACCCCCCTCAATGCTTTTAATTCTTCCAGTCACACCTCCGATGTGCATTTCTAACAGAAAGTCTCCTGTTGAACATGGCAACCAGATTTTATGTATCTGCAAGCCTTAATCTTGTTATTGGTGAATGTCCTCATGCCTGATGATTTTGTAAATTACCCAGTAAAAAATATTGAAAATCAGAAAGGCTAAAGGGAAACAAGCTCTGGATATTGTGTCTATCTTCTTGGCCCGGTCAATGAATACCTTTCTCATGTCATCAGGGCTTTTTGGTGCAGCTTGAACAGGATTATTTGGCCCCTTTTGTGTCACTCCATCTTTTGCTTGCAGACAGGGGCCCATTCCATATGCTGTGAAGCTAAACTGACTTTCCCTTACGTCATCATCCTGTTTAAAAAAAAAGAAAAAGAAAAAAAGAAAGAAAGAAAAAAGGCAAGAAGTTTTTTTTTTTTATTTACAGAAATCTTACCAGCTGATAAATAGCAAGTATCGCACCATTAGCTCAGTGACTTCTTGAATCCAGAGCTTATCTTAACTGATTGAAATTTCAGCCCTATCAGTGTCTGTCAAAAATATTGAGGCACTTTTAACAAGTACAAAATGTTCCTATTTGTTTATAGATACTGTAAGGTATTTAGAGAAAAGAGAAATCTTTGTGATCATACACACAACTTCTGATTTGGTTTAATTTTCCCCATTTACAATAAATATCTGGACAAACTTCACACTGTTCTTTCAGACAACAGCTATTAACTCTGTATGCTGCTTAACAAAATAAGATCCTGGCCTCTAAAGAAACCCATCTATAAGCACTAATGATGTTCACATTAATTCTGCCTATTTGTGCATTGTACATTTAGTTAATCTTATCTGTATGCCTTATTTCTGCTGCTCCCTGTGAATACATCAGATAAAGGGAATAGCATGTGAAGTGTCTTAGTTTAAAATAAAGTGAATGAAAGCTAAAGGCCAGACTTTTCTTCTGACTCATTCTTCTGTCAGTTCAGGGGAAAACTGGCAAAGGCATTCTGAATTCAGGGAGCTATAAAAGAAAATGGTTTTTAATCACGTGGCACAGAAACAAAAATAGATGATCTGAAGATAGACGTATTTTCATAGCATGCATTTCAAGAATGTGGCTTCTGTCTGGAGGCACATTTTGTACTTCTCTTCACCTGGTTATAGGTGTTCTCAGGTAATAAAGGAGGAATAAACGGAGGCAAATAAATGATACACAGACTGTGAAGCCAGGGTCGAATTTGGTTCTGAAATATATTCCAGTGTATTCCTTTACTATGTATGCTACTCAAGGATAGTCATGTGATTTTGATGGCATTCACAATTTTTTTAATACGGATTTTCAATGCAGGATTTCCTATTTTTCACGTCTAATTTAGCTTAGTTGCTTTAGGATTCTAGACTTTCATGAACTATGACAAAGTAGTATGTATAAGTTATTTCTTAAATATGTATTCTGGAATATACGTACTCTGATAAAAGTGTTAAAAAAAAGAGTTGAGCAGCAGTCAATTTTCCTTTTGTAAGAGAATTTTTTGTATTTTGAAGACCTTCATAGCTTAAATTAAAATAAAAGGGTAAAATATTATTTACCAAAGCAAGTCAAATAATTAGTGTTTCAGTGCAGTAATTCTGAAGCATTTTTGTTTTATTTAAACCTCTTTCTTTGTACAAATGTAATTTCTCATTTAACACAGTTTAAATCCAAACTTCCAAATTTTGCATTTTGAAAATGCCTATGACATTTGGAAATCTGAAAGTGTTTTGAAATGGAAAATAACTTCTAAACATATTTAAAGTTTCGATTAAGTAGTACTTGCTAGAAAAGCCATTGTTAATTATTTTGTTTAAAAAAATGCCAGTGAGGATTATTATCAATATTAGTTGAACAAGTTATCTACAAAAGAATGCAGATCAGTTACTAAGTTTGAAGTGAAATGGTTGGCAATCAGCATGAGCATCCAGAACAGCTGTAGTTACCATCCAACTGCTGTAGTTATCACCTAACTACAATACTTTTTCATATATGTAAACTGAATAAACTTACAGACTAATATAGTTCATTGAAAGTACTATACTTCATGTCTGTATTAGAATTCTCCTATAAAAACAAAAAATAAAGAAAAATGAACATGAAAGAAAAGGAGAAGGAAAAACCACTGACTGCAATATGGAAATGAATAACAGAAATACAAAATGACAAGATAATTATTTGATGACGTGATAAAACAAAGATCTAATTACTACAGTAGTGTTCCTCTCCTGTCAGAAAAGAATGGGAAATAACATCTTTATAGCAGTTGTATTGCAGAAGAGTTGTAGTGTTGTATTCCAGTTAGCAGAAGTTACAAATACACAGACTGTGAGAACTTAAACTAAACTTGCTGTCATTTAAACACCTTCATGCGTACAATTTAGTGTTTGAATCTTTTCATGCTTCTCCAGAAAATAATGCTTATGATTGCATAGGCTCAAAAAGATAATAAAATAATTCTTCTGAGTAGCAGCTTTCAGTTGGGTATATTTTCAGGATGAGGCACTATATACTAAGAATTTACTGTCTCTGTTCTATGCTTACCTGAATTGAGTGATTCTCTAGAATGATATTAAAGGCCAGGTTTCTGTTTATTTTTTTTGCGTGCAGACATCCTGAATTTAGTCTGTGAGCGTGCTGCTTGGAAATGCTCTCTGTTGTTGAGGAAGTGATGTGAAAGTCCTTCTAGGAGTCTAGCATTTCTGCCCAGTATCTTTTGGATGGTGTCTCCATGAGGGCAGGCAGGGTGGTTGGAGCCTGCTAAGTCAGACCAAAGTGCTAGGGCTAATGGACATGCAGGAAAGGGCACCTTTGGGAGCATTGTAACATGCCAGGTAACCACATTTTTTTTTTCTAGAGTACCAGTTAGAATATCCGAAATGTGGTTCTGGAAATTTTCCAGCAGGTTCATAATGCAGAAAAATCACCAATTTGTCCTCAGGTTCGTATCTGGGGGGGGTTGTGCACAGCAGAAATGACTCAGTTACTGTTATTATTGATGTTAACTATTGAGTGCTTTTTCGAAGGCATTTTTATAAAATGTTGATGAACCCCATTTGTTTTTATCAATTGACTTGGATACAGTCCCTCTTTTTGACTAGAAATATTTCTCATAATGCATGTGTCCAAGTCCACAGCTGTTGAAATCATGTAATGGAAGTACCCAGTATGTCCCAGTTAAGAATCTTGACAATGAATCTTCCTGAAAAAGTCTTGCATTTTGGTTGAAAATTTTTTAAAAAAGTGTAATAAGGAAGTGGTTGGGGTTTTTTTTGTGTGTGTGTATTTGTTTAATGAATCATCATTAAAGAAAAGAAAATTAATACTTTTAAATTGATATTTTGATAAAGCTTTTACAATCTTATTATGAATGAGCTTTAATAAAGGGTCAATATCAATGTGCTTTTCACACACGGCTTTGGAACTAACAAATTGGAAGTTATACTGCATACAGTTGCACATAAATATTTTATCATCTCTGTTGAAATTACTGTAATTAAAGAATGGAAATAAATTGAGATAATTTTTAGTTAGAAAGTTAGAATTCTTTGGAGGCCTGAAGGAAATAATTTCAATTAGTTTATTTTCGTAACAGTGTTGTTCTACAAAATACTTAGCTATAAAGTATTAGAAAGCTGTCAGTTTCTGTGGCTCTGTGACTATGTGGTTTTCCGTCCATACATTTAATAATACATTTCTCTTGAGGAGTAATATGCGTAAGGACTGAAAATATCTCCACAGCCTTTTGACTGTAAGTTATGGTAACAGCTTGAAAACTTATTTGAAGCCTTGGCTTGGGTTATTTGAACACCTTATTTTTTACTGTTGATTTCTGAGAAGAAAAGTGTCACGGAATTGTTTTGCACTACGAACAGCTTGGTTTTAAATGCTGGTCTGGTAGCAACTGATTTCTCCTTGAACTGATGTCACTGTTCCTTTGAAGTTACAGAAAGTAAAATTTTAATACTATGTTTTAATCCAGATTTAAACAGATCAAAATGGATTATGAAATTAACAAGACAGGTACCTTTATTAACATTTCACGTCATCACATACAGGTAGCAATGAAGATATATGGAGTTCAAATGGGAAGACATTATTTCAGACAAAAGGACAGGGCCTCTGTTAATGATTGGATATCACATTATGACAAATGGGACATCTTCTTCATAGTTTACCCTTAAATTTGTACTGTAGATTTGAGGCAAAGTCCCGTCTATAGGTCCTGTACATCTCAAGCCATTGCTATGCTGCAATGATTCATTGATTTCATTTCCATCAAGAACTCCCTCAAAATACTTTCATCAAAACGGATGGGTTGACCAAAAAGAAAACAAAAGAAAAGAGGTGTGATTACCATTAAAGACAATCTAGTTCGCATGTCTATTTCCCTCACTAAAGATACGGTGATCTTTAGGTTTTTGAAAACAGAATTAAAAGATTGACTATTCCTGAAAACTAGCTATAGTAAAAGCTAATCTAAAATAAAAGTGTTATTCAGTATATGTACACAGTTCATGTTTTTCCCTGTACAGTGTAAATGCAACTAAGAAAAAGCATTGATCATAGGTATGGTTCAGTATCCCTGTATGACTTCTAGTTCTGCCATTTTTTCCCTTTTGTCTTTCAAGACTGAAAGAAGTGTAACTGTAAATGAATAATTAATATTCATTCATTCTGAAGGGATGTTTCCATCACATTGTAATATACTATTTGTGAAATAGTTGTGTTAATTGGCCAGATTTCTTTTTCTGACAGGGACAAAGCTCTATAGATCATATACAGACTACCAAATAGTGTCAGATTGGGAACCAAAATTCCCCTGTTCTCAGGATTCATTATGCAATTCTTGTAATCATAAAGAAACTAGACCCTTTTTGAAAAATCTCCTATACCTATTATGATGCCTATTGGAAAATAGCAATTAATAGGTTGCATATTATATTGCAATAACAGTTCGTATTTATAAATTTATTTATAACACAATCCCAGACACTTCAAAATTTTAGTTAATTCTGTGCAAATTGCATTGGACCTCTAAAAAGAAATTTTTCTTTCAGTTATTCGGAATCATTCAGTGAGTTCCATACTTACAATCATAAAAACGGTAGCCAGAGGGTGCAGTTATACCTAAGAATCGCCTTTGATGCTGCAGTTACTGTTGTCTGGGAACGGAGGCTGCAAATGTACTAGATGGTGCAGAAAAGAGGCAGTGACTGTAGGTGGAAAATGCATAAGGAAAATGGCAAGGATAGATGACCTTTGGATGCTAAAATGTCTTGATACAGCTCTGTACATAATTACATTTTGTATAACTATAATTTGCTATAAAACGCAGCAGCTCTTATTTTTGTTTCCTACACTCTTTTACTGCAGAGGTTTTATCCAAGTTTGATCATATGCTTTTCAAGAGAGAGATTTGAATTCTGTCCTTTTAATGAGCATTGAGAAGGAATTACCCATAGTTGTGATTAAATTTTCAAAAGACTCCAGCCTGGAAAAAGCTGCAGATTTGTTTGAGGACATGTTTAGAGTTAAAATTGAATTCAATAATTTGGAGAGAGTCTGAAAAATACAGGAGGAGAGTTGGTAGGTGCAAAAACAAGGTAGTACATTTAGCCAGGAATATTTAGCTTTACAAACATAAGATGAAAAGTGAATGCCTCTACAATAGTTCTGGAAAAAGACCTGGGAGTTACGGAAGGTCACGATCTTGATATGGGTCAATACCATGCTGTTGTTAAAAAGTCAAGTGGCAAACTGGTTTGGATAAACAAATGTATAGTTTGCATCATGGGATCCTTCAGCTGCTCTCAACTGTTACTGGCTAGGCAAACACAGTTTTCAGGAATTATATGGACTTACTAAGAGAATTTCCAGGGAAGGAGAATGAGAATGAGCAAAAAAAAAAAAAAAAAGACTGTAGCAACTGGGAATATTTAAAGAAAAGAAGACTGAATGGAAATGTGCAAACTGCTACATAAAGGAACGAAGTAGTTTGTTCTCTGTGCCCCTCCTAGACAAACCATGACAGGCCAAAAAAGGCATGAGTAAAAAACTTTCTAAAGCATTGAAACAAATTGCAGGAGAGCTTGTGGAATTTTTATGACTGGCATGAATTAGGTATAACTGATCCTGACTTTGGTCAGGAAAATGGATTCATTGACCTCCTAAGGGTATTCCAGCACTGAAATTCAATCATCTGACCATTGCCAGGGTTACATGTTAAAAGTAAATATTTTTTGCAACAAACACATTTTTTAATTACAAAGAAAATAGAGTTGGAAAAGTCTTCAGCTGCCTTATTGCAATTAGATATTATCATACATGTTCTCTTCTGTCAACATATATCTGAAATGAAACATTTCCAAAGCCATCTATTTTTTGACTTTTGCAGCAGTTGAATCACTAGGAATTTTGCTGTACCCTTGCAGATAAAACGCCAGTGCCGAAAAAGTCTGTATTCATTGGATGGAATTCACCTGGTAGAAAAACCTGGTCTTAGTAAAATGTCCCAAGATGGTAAGCATATAGGATGAAAAAGCCTAATAGGTTACCCTAACTGCTCTATTTCTCTAATCTATTTAGACATAAACACCGAATAGAATAGCAGTTTTCGCTTTGAAAATAAAGAGGATTTAATGTTCAAGGAAGCCCCTGAAGTTTATTTTAAACGCAGCCTTTTAACCTAACATCTTTTAATATCTTTTGACCTTGTGATCAAATGAACATTTATTTATACATAGTACTTTTAAAAGTCGATACAATCTAATTCCTGAGAGCCAGTGGCTGTTTGACCTCGTCCAAAGTGATAACAAACACATGTAAATCTTTATATTAATGAGGTATAGTAACTGACTTTGAAAAAGACAAAATAGGAAGGAAACACAAGTTAATTTGACTTACAATCCTAGGGCCTGCATTTCATGTTAGAAATTGTGGTGAATAAATAATAATATTTGTGGTAAGGAAGGCTAGTTACTAACTGCTTTCTTTAATCCATGAGACATCATTTATGATTTGTACACCAGAAGGTTTCGGATGCGATCCAAATTTTTTTAAGAGATAAAATCTCCATGCTCTGATGTTTCAAGTTCTAATATACTTGTCGGGCAAGGAAAGGTTGAAGAAAACATTGAGAAAAAGAACCAATTAGCTGAGCTGTCTCTAGAGCTTGAGAAGGTGTATTCTCAAAGGTCAACTCTGGCCAGGAGCTCTAGCTCTGCATAGAATTGGAGTCAGTTGAGAAACATTCAGGTAAATTAATCTTTTCAGAAAAATGTCTGTTTCTCAAAATCGTAGCCTTGCTTGGGAACAAAGCGTTTTTTTGTAAATTCAGGCTAAGAAATCTGTCTCATGATGACACATACAGATACATGGAGGAAGGGAAAGCCATATACCCCTGAATATAGTTAATACCCTCACCTGGGTATGTTATGAAGAAAAACATTGAAATGCATGTCTTCATCCTTCAGCATCTAAGGGGAGTACTTGATAGTTTACTATGGACCCTGCAGTCTCTAAGTCTAATCCTCTAATTTTATGACAAGCTAGCAGGCAACTTACCTGAAGATAGAAGACTGTCTTATGAATTGTAAAATTAGAATAAGGACTTCTAAGTGTGAATTAAAAAATACCATGATGTCAAGCATTGATCCAGCAAAACACTTAAGTCAGTGAGACTATTCATGTACACACTTTTTTGTTAAGTGGTCTTTTCTTGGAAGTGCTTTGTATATTGTGGATCCTTTCTCACATACCTCTAAGCTGAAATTTGAGTGGTTGTGATTGCTGAAGGAGTGTCTTTGGTGGGCTTGAAGTCTTGCTGAGAGAGGGCTGGAAAGTGATTTGGTTTGATTCTGAGGAAGGAAGGTAATATTGCCTGCCAGTTTCTAACCCTGTGGTTATAATAATTGATGTGTATTTAAGGAAGTGAAAAAATATGACTAAAGTTGAAAATGGTAAATTTGCCCAAGATCCAGAAGGCACTATAATACAAAGGGAAAAAAAAAGAATGGACTAAAAGTATAGTCACACAATATATCACTCACCACAGCTGTATGTATTTGATACATGACGCATTTGTTATGGCTTACCTGCCCCCTGTCTGGTAATCTGTCTCTGCATGTCCCGTTTACCCCCATTCCAAAACTTTAAGCAGCTTTCAGAGAGCTGCCATATTTCACAACACTCTGTCACAAAACTGCTGCTTTCCTCCTGTGTGTCTCAGAAAGCATTTTTTCTGCTACTGTCAGCAAAAAAGAAAAAACCCAAATTTTTCACAGGGAGAATTGTTGAAAGGAGGTACATGCAGTATGAATCATCCTCTAGGCTACAGTACATGAATATCTCTCTGCACCTGAAGAAGTCCAGGACTTGACATGGTAACAGACAAATCCATGAAAATGCCATTTTCATTTGACTGTCCAGCCTGCCTTTTAACATGGAGTCTTGCTAGCAGAGAATGCTTAGATAGGCTTTATAGCATTACAGATTTTCAGTATCTTCTGTGTAAAAGGGAAACAACTCCTGAAAGGTCTTCTCCCTGTGATGTAAGCTGTAAATTGAGTTAAAACTTCAGGAATGAAAGACAGCTGAACCAAGAGTCATGTTGCTATGGTCAGACTTTCATCCACAGTAGTATTCTAGGTAGTGTCTGAAAGCTAATGGAAAAGGTCTGCATGACATCAGTGGTGAGTACTCATTTCATGAGTAGGTTGGAGAAATGTTTACTCTTTGAAAAACTGGAAGTAGGAGTTACATATCGTTGTAAGAAATTTTGCTTATTGCTTGATTTATCTACAGACTTCAGAATTTAAACCTGTAGCCTTAGCTGTTTGACTTTGCATATTGGTAGTGACTTATTTTCCTGGTAGTCTAGATGTCTTCAGCTATAAAATAACTATTAATAACCATTATTGTGTTAAAGTTTCTTGCTAGTTGTATAAACAATTTACAGTAAATTGACAAGATGGAAAAAAAAAACTTCCGACCCTTTAAAAGCAAAATGTTTGTTCTTCCACCAATAATATTAATTGAATAAGTATTTTTTCTGTTAAAAAAATGTTTACATGAAACACAGCTGTTAAGTCTTTGAACTGAATACTAGAATGAAATTAGGAAACATTATTTGTTGAATCTTGATGTAGTACAAACTGCTGCAAGTACCAGTAACATTCATCTACCGAAGTATAATCTAACTCTTCTAACGGAGTGAAAATCATGCTTATGCAGATGGCTCCCACATGGCCTATGCCTCATTTAAATCCCTCTTAATCCCCCTTTCAAAATTCAAGTTGGATTTTTATGCAGTGCATAGTCCTTGTAGTGACCCTCTGCCTATAGTGAATTTCATTCTGTGCTGCCATTTTATTTATATTGCCAAGCTGTAGTATGTTTACCAAATTAACCCTACATCCTGGCATAAATCAATCTCAGTCTCTCTTTCAAAGTTTTGAATACTGTTACTTTTACCTTGTTCTTCTTCCTCTTGCGGCGGAATCGCAGAAGTTCTTTATGCTGCCTTGACACAAAATTTACAGCTGCGTACTCCAAAAGTGCAGAAAATACAAAGAGCAGACACACAGCCATCCAGATGTCAATCGCTTTGACGTATGACACCTATGGAGAAAATACAGCAGAAGACTGAATATAGTAAAACCACAGATGTGAAGTTTAATATTTCATGTCAGGAGGATTAATTATATTTTTAATATCTCCACATCCCAACGCTACTTTTATCAAACAAAACATGAAAGCTAGGTAACGAGAGGGACAACGATTCAATCTATAAGCATTAAATATTCTTTTAAAAATGTTGTCTTTCACAAAATGTGTTTACTGTTCATGTCATTAACAGTTCCTCATAGTGTACTGTATATTTTATCACAAACCAAATAATCCACTGAGGTCTGTGAATGGTACTAAGGAACCAGAGAATAGCTTATAGTGGGACCAGTGGGAATTCCTGTATTATAATGGATCCGATTTAAAGTTCCTGGGATAGAAGTTAGGTAGAAGAAGGGAGATGGATAGAGAACTCTGATATATGTTCATTCTCGGCTAATATAGGCACGGTAAATCAAAGATATTAGTCCTGTAATTTTGACACAGTGGAAGAATCGAAAACCAATTACAGAGCAGATGAACTCATTGCAATCCTTTATTGCCAAGCTCATCTGCAGGACATAACCTGAATTAGGAAAGTAGGGCCTGTTCCCTCTGTGTGCAGATTTACAAGAGCTTTTTCATATAAGCCAACATAGCTAGCTTCCAGCCTCAAAAATGTGACAAAAACCATCTGTATCTCTCTTTGGTAACCTCTTACAGTGTTGCTTTTCTGAGTTTTTATAGCATTCCATTTTCTTATCTGTTGATGCATTCAGATCCATATATTTGAGGTACAAAGCACACTCGCTTCTGTTAGGGGTATCTATTTTAGTCAGAAAAAAATTAATTAGCCAACCTAAAAATACTATGTTAAAACTAACACAGAAGTGGACTTTGTTATTTTTATTGTATACATTTGACATTTATTTGACTTCTATGAAGATGGCCAAGGAATAATGCTTAAAATGAAAATCTGTAAAGCAATGATGAGTCAGAAAACTTAAATAGTTAATCAGAGAAATATACTTTAAGCTATTTACATAGTGTAGTGAACCATTCTTGGAGCTATTTTTTGGAGCTATTTAGCTTCACATTTTTCTGCATTTTGTTGTAAATTTTTTTGTAACTAGTGAGTTAATTCATAATGTAGGCAGGTTTTGGGAAAGGAACATCATTGAGAACAGATTGAAGTCCATTTCTTTAGAAATTCAGTCATATTTGCTAGCATGTCATCAGATACTGGCATCTGCAAAAGAATGAGCTAGTCAATTGCTAAGCAGCATTTTTGTAATATTGAATAACATTGCTTTCATCAGTTGCTGAAGGTTTATGGAATGTAGTAGATATGTGGTTGGTTAAATAGTTGAAACAGGGGAGA